AGCCTTCCTGACAAATCCTCCAGTGCAAGACAGGAATGTTGTCAGACCTCCACAAGTCATAATGTATGGTCCAGAAGATATGCTTTAGAACATCAGTCTGGCCTTTTCCTAATATTAATATTGTGTGCTCACCGTCATTACGGTAGTAATAAGCTGGAGTGGTTTATGCCAGTTTTGAAAGTTGTAATCCCAGTTCATTTACAGATGGGGTCTTTTCAGTTATGCATAAAAATAGGATTTTATAAATTAAAGAAAAGGAACCCCCTACAAACTCCGAAAATATCTTAACGAGGCCTAACGTGGTTTATCCTAGATAAATAAATAAAATATAAAATAAATAGTGTTCCAGAGAAATAGACTACCAGAAGTTGGAGGGAAGGGAATTAACCTGATCATTGAGAGTTTAAATATTCCAGGCGGGGGAGATTGGTGGGTGTACCAAATTGTTTCCCTTTCCGACAATTCCTGATGTGTGTTATTTTGTAATCCTTATAACAGACAAGAAAAGTAAATACTGTTGGACCTGATATTACATATAGAGAGTAGTGGTGAGAGAGTAACATGTTCACAAGAGAGGGAAGATTTGAAATGGGGACCAGCCTCTTGGCTCCTGTGTTGTGCCAGAGGCAGTGAGGTGGAGTGGGGAATGGAACTTCAGTTTGTTTGGGGTTACCAGATGATGGTAAAACTGATACCTTAACTGCAGTACAGTATTTTCCATGAAGAAAAATTTAGGTGGGTAGCCATGTTGGTCTGAAGCAGCAGAATAAAGTTTGAGTCCAGTGGCACCTTTAAGACAAATAAAGTTTGCACACTAAAGCTTACACTTGGAATAAAACTTTGTTGGTCTTCAAATTGCCACTGGACTCAAACTCTCTCTTGTCCCTCACATTTGTCTTTAGAGAGAAAGGGGACTGGATGTATTCCTCCCATAAGAGAGGAGGTGCAAGGAAACCAGCTTGCTGAGGGTTGCTGAAGGGGATGGGGACTTACGGAAGAGAATGATTGTCTCTTGGAAGTGTCTGCAGTTAATCCCAGTCCTTTCCTGTGTTTGTCATCCATCTCAATCTTGGGCGCAAGGCATAGGAATCACTTTAAGATTCTAGGGCTGAACAAAGGTGAAAGATTTTGAAATGTTATCTTGGGGCTGGTTGCACACAGTGAAAAGGAAAGCAAAGCAGTAGCCGCAGTTTTGTGGAGTGTTGTGAATCTGGGTCTGATCTCTAATGCCTTCTGCCAGGAACTATACTTGCTAGAGTACCTAGCAACAGTTGCTAAGAGTTGAAAAAGTTACTGCTGTAACTTTTTTTTTAACCTGAAGAGGGTGTTTATCCTGATTCTACTAATATTAACAAAACTGTGGTTCAGTGCTACATGGCACACTTAAATCATTCTTTTTCTTACAGTTCACTGTTGTTATAAAGACCGAATAGATTAAATCCTTATGTGGAGAAATGATAGAGATTTTAGTATTAAAATTTGCTGCTTGGAAGGCTGAAGTATCGATGAATTTTTTGCTGTGGTGGCAAAAACCAACTAGGTTGTGCCTATATAGCTTTCCATATTTTGAGCAATCAGCCCTTAGCATCCAGTTTAAATATATGTTTTTGGCACAACTGTTCTAAGAGCCAGCACAGAGCATGGTTAGAGTGTGAGGGAGACCCAGGTTCTGATTTCTACTTTGTCATAGAAGATTGCTGGGTGACCTTATGCTAGTGATTCTCCCTTTCCTTGACCTACCTCACAGGGTTTTTGCTTGAGTCCAGTGGCACCGTTAAGACAAAGTTTAATTCTGGGCATAAGCTTTTGGGTGCATGTGCATAAAGTGATTTTATAAGCATTTTGGGTCTCAGGGACAAAAGTGGAGTATTAATATCTAAACAACATTACGAACTACTTTTTGTTTCTCTATTTCATGTAGTTTTCCAACAGAAATCCTTTTCCCATACAGCAGCTTCCCGGCAAAGTTTTCCAAAAGAAATCCTTTTCCCATACAGCAGCTTCCCAGCAAAGTCTGTTGTTAGTGTTCCCTTTGCCTAAGGCATGTTCTGCAATAGCTTGTGAAACCATTTCTGTGAAGAACGAGATCAGTGGAGCTCCTGGATCTCTGGAAATTGTGAAACAGAAATATTTTGGAAAGTTTTGGGATAGCCTGGGCAAAGGAGGAACATCCTGCTAGTGGGGCATACGGTGTTTTTAAGACTGGTAGTTAATGTGATTTTATTTTATTTGATATTTGTTGTTTAATAATTAATTTTTTTGTATTGTTAGTACCTGCCTTGGATCCTGAGTTGCTTGGAAGAAAGGTGGGCATATAAATATATTAAATAAATAACATATTTCAAAAACACTGGAAAAATCTGGTATAAAATTATATTTCACATTTCTAGTTATGAGTGCTGAGGAAGTTGCATCATTACTGGACCAAGGAACAACAAAAACGTATCAAATTCCCATTGAACATCTAGACTACAAATTCATTGAAAAATGTGCCGATGTTAAACATTTGGAAAAGATTCTCATGATATTACGGTAAACATTTTAAATATTTTTAAAAATTATTTTCATTGACATGGACTAAGATGATCAACATGTAGATGTAAAACACATTTTGGACATTAGAAGCCAACAGATCTTCTCTCATTTCATAGCTGTTGCCATACAACTGTTGTAAGATGGTGGCAGTTTTTAGTTACCAGCAGCATAATTATACAGTCGCACAACTAGGGTATAACAGTAAAATGTGCACATTAAAATGAATACTTGCATCGCTTCAGCTTCTAAAATGCATAGAGAATAGATGGTTTAGACTGGTAAGAGATTTTGTTCAATGGGAATAAAAAACCTGAAAATGGAGTTTAGAATCAAGAAAGATTAAGGGGAAATCTAAATCAAATTACACCCCTTTTTAAATCAAACAACAATATTTGAAAGAGTAATAGGGATTATGGGGGAGGTATGGAAGGAAAATCTCCCTGTTAATTTTTTTCATTAGATTGTATTTCTGCAAAGTAAGTGATGAGTGCAGGTGAGTATTACTATTTATACTCTAGAAAACATGAAACACTGATATGTATAGGCTCAGATCATGCAGTGATCTGACATGTCTTTATTTCAAGGTCTGGTGAGGAAGGCTGTTATCCTGATCTTACATTATTTTGTGAAAAACGCATTGAATATTTGGCTCCAAACAGCAGAGTTCTACGAAAAGAGAAACCAGCAGCTACTGCGTCTGATTTTACTGCTGAGGAATGGGAAAAAATAAATGATGAAATGAAGGTATTTTATAGCTGCATTCTGTCCTGTGTTAAAATGATTATTTAGTACCTGCTTAGGTACCTCGATTAATTCTGTACTCATCTTCCCTGTCTGTGCAAAATCCTTTATTTACTGTATTTCTATATTGCTTCATAGCACAAAGCTCTCAAGGCATTTTATGACATACTTAAAATTTATTATAAAAACAATATAGCATTGGTTCACTCTTGCCAACCTCTTTTCCTGTAGGTCATAGCCTGGACCATTCCCTTATAGTGCAAATCCTAAACAGAATTGTACCCTTCTAAGTTCTAAGCTGCAGTGGCTCAAGTGGTTAAGACGCTGAACTGCAGGCTGCGGAAGGTAGTTCAGCAGTTCGAGACCCGGGTGCAGCAAGACAGAGTGAGCTCCCGTCTCTAGTTCCAGCTCCTGCCAACCTAGCAGTTCGAAAGCAAGAAATTGCAAGTAGATAAATAGGTACCACTTAGGTGGGACGGTAACGGCGTTCCGTGCGCCTTGGTGTTTAGTCATGCCGGCCACATGACCACGGAAACGTCTTCGGACAGCGCTGGCTCTTCGGCTTTGAAACAGAGATGAGCACCGCAACCCTAGAGTCGGATTTGACTGGCTTTCGAGCAAGGGAACCTTTACCTTTACCTTAAGTTCATTAAGTGGAGCTGCGGTTGCTCAAGTGGTTAAGACGCTGAACTGCAGGCTGTAGAAGGTCGGTAGTTCAGCAGTTCAAGACTCGGGCGCCGCATGACGGAGTGAGCTCCCGTCTCTAGTTCCAGCTCCTGCCAACCTAGCAGTTCGAAAGCAAGAAATTGCAAGTAGATAAATAGGTACCATTTCAGTGGGAAGGTAACAGCGTTCCGTGTGCCTTGGCGTTTAGTCATGCCGGCCACATGACCACGGAAACGTCTTCGGACAGCGCTGGCTCTTCGGCTTTGAAACAGAGATGAGCACCGCAACCCTAGAGTCGGATTCGACTGGCTTTCGAGCAAGGGAACCTTTACCTTTACCTTTAAGTTCATTGAAGTCAGCTGGCTTAGAAGGGTGTAACTCTTCTTAGGATTACACTGTTAGTGAGTAACAGAACTTTATAGTAAATCCATGAACAGGAAGTTAATGTAGTTTGCATAAAAATTTCATCTCATTATGACATCAGCTTGGTTCTTAAGTGTTATGAAGGGGCAGATCAGTAAACGTATTCTTTTTAGTAGTGTATTACTAGAATCTTATCTTCCTCTAGCTACATCTTTGTTGTCATGTTTTATCTTGTATCCTTGCAGCTGAAATGTACTATAAACCTTGTGTTAAATCATCACTTTGGCAAATAATTTTTCTAAATGCTACTATATAGAGCAAATAATTTAGCTGAAGGGAGAAACTTAAGTTCTTGGAAATGAAAAAAAACCACCTTTGTGTTTAATGTGTAAGAATTAAGAGAAAGTATGAATGGAATTGTTAATACACACACACCCTGTAATTGTGGTCCTATCCAAACTGCACAATTAGTTCCATATACCTAAGACAATTTAGGATGTGTTCCTTGAATAGCCCTGCCCCCACATATCATGAGTGTTATCATGTGACATTTGAAAATGAGGGGAATTTCAAAAGCAGTTGTACCTTGTAAGATGGGATGGAGGAATAGATCAAAGTGGGCAGTCGTGTTGAATGAAGGAATGTTACTCAAAGCAAAATATATATATCACTACCTAATGTAGATCCTTGAGCATGTCTAAAGTAGTAGTTTGGATGCCAATCAATTTTGATGATATTTTTCCCTTTTGCATCCAGCACTTATTCTGCAATTAAAAGTTTTAGAACCATAGGTCTGTATTAAAAATAAAGGTTCCTTGGAAAGTATGTGTTTCAGGTTTTGAAATGCAGTAATATTGGCTGCATATTTCAGAACTGGATTACAGATATGAAAGAAGAGGAATATAAAATGCGGTATACTACAACTGAAGTATTCAGAGAGAACCTGGAAAATATGCCACCGGTTCGTCATTCAGATAGCTGTGGGCCTACTAGCCAGGTGTGACTTTGCTTCTATACTTCCTTTTCAGTATCTATATGTGAATTTTATTCTGCCTAATAAATAAGACACTTGTTGTTTCCAGTGTTTGTCTTTGCTAGGATTTTTCCCATTGAAACATTTGCAAATGATATAATAACTATCTACAAATTAATTCAGAAGGGGCTTTAAGATATGCAGCCCCAAGCTGTGCAGATATGTTTTGAAGTAAGTCTGTGTTCAGTTCAACTTGCTTTTATTTAATTATTAATTAAAATAATTATGCTCTGTCTTGCCCATGTGGCTCACAATTGCATGATTAAAAATGTACAAAACACAATAAAACCCCATTGATTCCCCCCCCCAAACTGGCTGCAGCTTAAGAGCCCTAATAAAAAAATGGCCTCACATTGCCTCCTGAAAACATTTTAAAACAGTGCCCCCCTCCAGAGGTTTGTTCCACTATAGAGAAGGAATGGGCTCTGGTAGATACTGTTGGCCACCTTATGTGTGGGAACAACTAGGGGTGCGGTCACATGCGCCAGATAAAATGGGGGGGAAGGGAAGCGAGGGTATTTCCTCTGGAGGAATTTGACCCGCAGTTGCACCATCACACCTCTCTTTGATGCTGCGGGCGCAGCCTGTCTGAGTGTGATCAGACGCAACTGCGGGTGAGTCTTTTTGTGTGTGTGTGCTGTTTGTTTCCCATGCGCTTAAATGAGGAGTCGATGGACCAAACCTCCACACTGAGGGCTCCCTATAGAGTTTGTGATGATGCGCATACTGCGAGGGGGGGGGAACAACAGCAGGGAGTCAGGATGGCCTGATCAGACCATCCCGACAGCATGAGAGTGTGCTGGAGCGATCAGACAGGGGAAAGTCCATCTGTGGCCCATTGCAACCCATTTACTACCGGATTTTCCCTGGTGCCTTTTAACTCCGCTTCTGCGGCAGAACAGAACGGGTTGCCGATGGCTGCGGGGAGCTTCCCAGATGTTGTTGTCTGATCACTCCTTTTAAATCCGCCGATATCAGGTCTAATTGTGTGTATGATCACAGCTTAGAAGGTGGCAAACAGAAGATAACAGATAGCTCATGGGAACATATGGAAAGAGATGGTTCTTCAGATATAAGGGTCTACACCACGACAAACTTTAAAGGTTATAACAAAGAGCCAAACTAGATGTTACATTTTTGCACTTGCATATAAGTGCATTCAAGTGTTCCCTGCAGCTGCGGTGAACCGCTTCTAAAAAAGAAGAAAAGCCTGAAGGGGCTTGAAACAGCAACAAGAGAAAAGGAAGGTCTCCTGAGTCCTCTCCCACTCCTGCTGTTTTCTTGAGCAAAAACTGCATGGAGGGGAGTTATTTTGCGACATGGAGTACCTGTGCCCATGGCTGTGGGGAACAGTTGAATACACTTGTATGCAAGTGCAAAAATGTAATGTCTAGTTTGTTAATTAACTAGACAGATTTTGATGGACTCTGTTTCTATGGCTTGGAATAGCTCGAGTGGTATCTCATCTATTCCCGGTGATTTGTTTCTCCCAATTGCTCACAGTGCAGCTTTCACTTTACTTTCTAAAATTGTAGGGTCTTCTTCAAAAGATTCTTCTTGGAACAAATCTGCCATCCTTGTGCATCTTTTTTGTGTAGTTTTTCAGTGTGTTGTTCCCATGTTTTCTTTATTTTGTCCTCTTCAGTTAATGTATTTCCGAGTTGCTCTTTCAGCATGCCTAACCATACTTAAAATTCTCCTTTGATCTCTTGGATCTTTTGGAACAGATCTCTTGTTCTTCCTTTTTAGTTGTTCTCTTCCATTTCTTCACACTGGTTATTATAATAGTTCTCTTTGTCTCTACATGCCAGTTGCTAGAATGCTGCATTTTGGCTTTTTATTCTGTTTCTGTCACCTTTTACTTTTGTTTCTCATCCATCTTTAGCAATTTTAAGAGTTTCATCAGTCATCTGTCAAGGCTTTTCTTTTCTTTTGGCTACCGGAATAGTCTTTGCGCATTCTTCCTTGATAATATCTCTGGTTTCAACCCATAGTTCTTCTAGTTCGCGTTCATTTGAACTTAGTTGGTGTTTTTCTTCAGCTTTATTCCAATTTTTGATTTTAACAATTCATAATCTGTACCACAATTGGTTCATGGTCTGGTTTTGGTAGACGGAGCAGTTTCTCCATCTTCTGCTTCCAGTTATGTAATCTATTTGGTTTCTATATTGGCCATCTGATGTTGTCCACGTATAAAATAGTTTGTATGGCTGTCTGAAACATGTGGTTGCAATGAACAAATTGTTGTCTTCACAGAATTCTATGATTCACTCTCCTGTTTCATTTCATGCTCTTATCCCAAATCTTCCAACGATATTTGAATCTGCATTGTTTCCTACTTTTGCGTTCCAGTATCCTATGATTACTAGCACATCTTTGTTTGGGCATGTGATCAGTTTCTTCCTGGACACTTGCATTAAAGTTTTCAATTTCTTCCTCATCAGCATCTTTGTAGTTGGAGCATAAACTTGGAAGATGGTTATGTTGATAGGCTTTCCATTAAGTCCGATTGATATTATTCAGTTAGACTTTGCATTATAGCCCCTGACTGCCTGTGCTATATCTTGCCTCACTATTAGAGCAACTCCATTCCTTCTATTTGTCATTCCCCGAGTAAAACACTTTTCTGACTGAAAATGTTTGCTCACTCCCAGGATTGCAGTGTTTAAATGTTCCATCTGTCATTTTACGATTTCGAACTTACCTCGAATTATACTTCTTACATTCTATGTTCCTATTATATGTGGCAAAACATCTTTGGATTTTCCATTTGCATCCACCACTCAATGTTCTTTCAGCTTTAGTCCAGTTGCGTCATTAAAAATAGTGCTACTCATACTTGTTCTCAGTTCTTCCCCAGTAGGTGATTGAGTGCCATAGGACCTGGAGGTGCCATTTTCAAGCACCATATCTTTGTTCATTTTATATTGTCTTATCATAGTGTTTTTGAGCTAAGGGTTGTTCAGAAGTGGTTCACCATTGCCTTCTTCTGCACAGTTGCCCAGTAGCTACCATTCAAGAATTCCTCTGGTCCCATCACCATTGGAATTGTCCTCTTCTGCTGATGTGGCTGTTGATCCTTGAAGGGGGTGGATACATCTTAGTCTGTTGTCTCAGCTGTGACCATTCTGCCTTGAGTGACTCTGCTAGGAGTTTAGATCCCTTACAGTACTGCTCTCAGCTTCAGTGACACACAAAAACATCTTTAGCATTACCACATTAAGGTGTATGTCCAAGAAGGAGAGTGAGTTCCTACATTCTTCTGAATTTCAGTAGAATTCATAGGACTGCACTGTAATAGAGGTCCATAGAAAAAGAAGTGATTGCAGGAATTTTTGCTTAGTTCTCTCCCCACCCCACCCTGCCACCAGACCTTTATTGACTCTGATTAGAAGTTGACTGTTGATTCATCTCCCATGCGTCATGCAACCTGTCTTGTTTGTTCCTAAGTGCTGCATGTGATTTCTACATGGGGCTTTTTTAAAAAGACTGGGTTTTTTGCACTGGGTTTTCCCCAACCTTCTATATAAAGTACTGTTTGGCAACTCTTGCTCTCCAGTAGTTTGTTCAAGTTTCCTCTCAGACTGCATCTGCTCAAGCAGGGGAGTGTGCTTGTGACTGACATATGGCCCAGCCAGTCAGCATTGTGTACAGCATAGTTTTTGAAGCAGGGAAATAACTTCATGATTGACATAAAGGTCTGCCAGTCCACAGATGCAAAGCTGATTTCTCCTGTAAACCAAAAGAACCCTGTCCCCCCCCCCCCCCAGCCAGCTTAGAGGAAGCACAGTGAATGCTGTTCCACCATGGGCTTATTGAAGTTAAAAGGCCAGAATGCATCTGAAGCCAATTTTAATCCTTGTTCAACATAGGATCCCATTCTAGCATTTTATTCTTCCTTCTCTTTTTGGAATTTAAGTTGTGGAATCAAATTGTAACAGTTTCTTTCTCAGATGAGGATTTTTAATATTTAAAATATTTGTAGGAACGGCATTTGTTTCTTTATTGTAGGGCAAAGCTTCAGAAAAGAGAAGACTGAAGAAAAACATACCAAGGGACTACAGCGAGTGGGACAAGTATGTCAGATACCATTAACTAATTTTTGAAACCTTTAAGACCAACAAAGTTTTATTCAAGGTATAAGCCTTTGTCTGCACGCACACTTCTTCAGATACAATGAAATGGAAATTACCAGTTCATACTTATAGGCAGAGGGTGAGCAGTAAATTAGCATGCAGCATAATGATGTTTAACAGATTCAAGGACCAAACAGGTGCCACCGAACTCAAACTTTGTTCTGATGCTTCAGATCAACGTGGCTACCCACCTGAATCTAATTTTTGAAAGTTAGTTATAGACCTGTTTTATTATGTGAATAGTTTTCAAAATGATGATATATTTTATATTTATTTTTTCCTATAGCAGAAAAATAAGCATAATAAGTTTTGCACTTTATACTTAAAGCCCAGCTATTGTATATGCTCTGGTGATCACTGCAGAACCAAACTTACAGAGCACATCAAATCTGTGGTCTTAGGATAAGATGTCACACTTTCAGCTGTCAAACATCATCCTGATGAGATGAACATATATGAATCCTGAACAGGCACAATGTTTGCAGGACCCAGGGTTATGTATATATTCTGAAAAAATTATGGGTGTAACCCTGGCTGTCTTGAATCAACTACAAACTCCCTTATAAGCTGATATTTTCACAGCTGACTAACTGCTTCCATTGAGTGGTTTAGCTGTAGCTTGGACTCCCAGCTTCCTGAAGCTTCTGTGCAGTACTGTTTGGCAACTGTTGCTTTCCAGTAGTTTGTTCAAGTTTCTTCTTAAACTACATCTGTACTGATGTTTTCAGCATGAAAGCAGAAGCGTTCTCTTGCGCAAGTTAAGATTTGCTGCACTTGTTAAACTGATGAGGAATTTGAGGAAATATAATTAAGAATTTCCTCTGTGTTCTGTAAATAAGTAATATTAAAAGGAAACAGTCTAATAATTATTACTGGAAAATGTAAAAACAGCAAAATGAACTTTTTTCCCTTTATGAACCAATGAGTTTATTCCCCCTCCCGCATTCTTTCATGTTTTGTATGTACTGTATGTCTTTGTTTATTTAAAAAAAGATTTGCTGTACTCGTAAAGGTAAACCCATATTACCGTCCTATGAAGTAGTTTAGTCTATTGATTTCAGTGGGCTTAGGCTGGAGTAACTCTGCATAGGATTACCCTGTTAATAAAGCATTCCAATCTCATGAAGAAATCTGTGTTTCCCCCAAACAAATCCCCATTATTCCTGAATGTCCTTAGTTGACCAGTCGCACTCTTTCATCTTAACCTCCTCAGATGGCTGTTGTGAGGATAAAACACAGAGATGTGTGCCACCCTGAATTCCTTGGAGGAAGGGCAGGATAAAAATATGATGGGTAGATATGAGAGAACAAGCCAGTAAGTCCTCAGGCACTCCCTCCTGCCTCCCTTTGCCTGCAGAGTGTAGGTTGAAAGCTCTTGACTCTGGCAAAATGGCAAACTGCAGTTTGCTATCTTGTCTTCAAAGCAGAGTTGTAAGCCAGGATGACCCAGTGCTTTTGAATCCTGCTTTGAAGGCAAGAAAGCAAATCACATTTTGCCAGTTTCTGTGTTACAACATACTGCAGTTTGCTCCCACCTAGGAAGTTTTCAATCTCTACATGGCGTGTACATGTAGGTTTGTACATAGACTTTAACTGCACTCTTGTGAGCTCTTGTTATAATGACATCTGGAATATTTTATTCTTCAATTTAAGGTTTGATGTGCAGAAGGAGTGTTCTAAAATTGATGAATGCCATGAAGAGAAGTCTGAAGCCTGCTGTGGTGTTAACAGATGTTTACCAGAAATTAACATAGATACAACAGGTACCTGTAAATTATCTCTTAGTACAGTGGCCACAGGATTGGAAAAGGTCAGTATACATTCCAATCCCAAAGAAGGGCAATGCCAAGGAATGTTCAAACTATTGCACAATTGCACTCATATCACACGCTAGCAAGATCATGCTCAAGATCCTACAAGCTAGGCTTCAACAGTACGTGGATAGAGAACTGCCAGAAGTACAAGGAAAAAGGAAAAGAGGAAAAGATCAACAACCTCAGATATGCAGACGATACCACTCTAATGGCAGAAAGTGAAGAGGACCTAAAGAGCCTCTTGCTCGGAATAAAAAAGGAGAGCGCAAAAGTGGGCTTGAAGCTCAACATCAAAAAAACTAAGATCATGGCATCCGGCCCCATCACTTCTTGGCAAATAGAAGGGGAAGTCGTGGAAGTAGTGACAGACTTAACGTTCCTGGGATCCCAGATCACCGCAGACTGTGACAGCAGCCATGAAATTAAAAGACGCCTGCTCCTTGGGAGGAAAGCGATGGCGAGCCTAAACAGCATGATAAAATGTAGAGACATCACCCTGCCAACAAAAGTCCGCATGGTCAAAGCAATGGTATTCCCAGTAGTCATGTATGGCTGCAAGAGTTGGACTATAAGGAAGGCCAAGCGCTGAAGAATAGATTCTTTTGAACTATGGTGCTGGAGAAGACTCTTGAGAGTCCCTTGGACTGCAAGAAGATCAAATCAGTCAATCCTAAAAGAAATCAACCCTGACTGTTCCTTGGAAGGCCAGATAATGAAACTGAAGCTCAAATACTTTGGCCACCAAATGAGAAGGGAGCACTCACTGGAGAAGACCCTGATGCTGGGAAAGATTGAAGACAGGGACGGCAAAGGATGAGATGGTTAGACAGTGTCATAGATGCAACGAACATGAAATTGAGCAAACTTCAGAGGACGGCGGAAGACAGGAAGGCCTGGCGTGAACTGGTCCATGGGGTTGCGAAGAGTCAGACTCTACTGTGTGACTGAACAACAACAACAACTGTAGTTACTGATTGTTGTCTGTCATTAAAAAAAGAGAAGGAATCCTGTTTTCAGAAAGAGGAGGTTTGGTGACCTTATAAAATAATGAGATTTTTGTACAAGCTTGGCTATCTGTATTTTACTTCTTGAGTTCTATTGAGTTCATTGTCTCCTATATAAATTCAGTGGCTTGAGTCCACTAGATTGCAGAAATTCCCTTCCTGCTGGAGTCCCTTGCCTGTTCCAGAGGGACCACGAGGAGTATCTTTTCAGGAAGTGCAGATGGCTGCAGTAGGAAGGGTGAGGCCATTGTTCAGGTGCTTTCTGAGCCAAATATTCATGATTTTACCGTATTTTGCCAACACACAATGAACAGAGTGTCTTAACACCTAAGAGTGAAGGATTAAAATGCATCTTCTGTTGTGCACTTTTTTTACCTGCTAGAGAAGCTGTACAAATCAGTGATACGACTAGCAAACAACATTTGCAAGGACATTTTTAAAAACCCTATAAAAACAGTATATTCTTTAAAAGTAAGCAAAAACATATAAAGAGCAGTCAGCTTATTGCTAATAGAGATGAAAATATGACGCCGCCTTGTATTGAGTCCGGCCACTGATCTGTCTTGCCCTCCTCTGGCTACGTTGACTGGTGGTAGCTTTTCAAGGTGTCAGTCCAGGGGTATTTCAGCTGGAGATGCCAGAGATAGAACTGGTGCCTTTCTGCATGCAAAACATGTTCTCTGTGACTGAGGTCTGGCCTCTTGCTTAAAGCTGGGGCTTGCTGTTTGCACCAGAGCAAAGAAGGAGGGAAGCTCATGCTAGTGTAGGAGAAACCTATGGCAGCTTGCTGTCTATAGCAATTTCCAACAGAATGGCACCTGTAATGTCTTATGTCTAGATATTGTGGTCTGGCCAGTACATTTTTGTACTTTCAATATTTACTGGCTATTTCCAGGTATGACCAGAAAAGAGAAGAATTTTATTGCTAATCGTGAAAAAGAGAAAGGCAATGAAGCATTTGTCACAGGTGACTATAACGAAGCAGTTGCCTACTACATTCGGTGAGTGGACATTATTTGAGCCTTCATTTTCCATTTGTGATGGTATTTATTCTTTATTTTTCATGAAGTGTTGTTGAATGAATAGAATAAGTTTATTTTTGAAATTGTATTTAATTTCAGAGTTGGAAGCTCTTGTTGCATCAACGTAGCTCAGGGTTCTGATACAACATCTGAGCTTCTCGGTCCCTTAACTTACAAGCTGCTTAGTAGTTTCAGGGCTGTGAGAATAGGTTGCAATCCTGTATGCAAGCTGTTTACTGCAGTGGAATTTAACCAGTCTAATTGTATGCAGGATTACAGCCACGGTAAGTAATACTTCAGCACAGCATGAGCAGCAACCTGTCTGAGGTAGGTACATTGATATGCGACTTTAAAGTGATTATTTCCATTTAAAAGAAGTAATAAGCATCTAGGAGACTAGTAAAGTTTTTCTTTTAAATTGTATTAATGGATTTGTGCTATTATAGGTGTGCAGCTATTTATTCAATATCAATTTTTTTTTAAAAAAACTGCAGTGTTTTAGTGTCACAACAGCCTTGTAATGAGGTTTTTTGTCATCTTCTGGGCATGGAACAGGGGTCACTGGGGGTATGGGGGGCATATTTGTGAATTTCCAGAATTGTGCTGGAGGTTGGACTTGATGACCCTAGAGGTCCCTCCCAACTCTATGATTCTAGGTTAGACTAAGGTTTTATACAGACAATAGCCTCTTAAAAGAGTAATATGATTTGTTCTGTTTTATGTATTATTCTAGCCTGAGGACAAGGCAGCTGGTAGAAATTTACATTATACATGTCTACTTCTTGTAAAGTCTTGTGGTGAAAATCCTGTCTGTGGTAAAAAGGAAAAAAAATTACTCCCCTTTGCAGTGGTGTCTAGTCAGACAGGTCTTGCAGGAATTCAAAGAGTGATGCTCAAGTCTATCTAATGTTCATCATTAGCTGAGCAAGAACTGGAATCTGGATTTGCCAAATCCAAGACCAGCTGTTTAGTCCTGTCACCACAGCAGTACTTGAGACTCCTTGAGAGCAACCCGAAGCTGATTTACTGGAAGTAAGTCCCCATTTATTCACTGGGGCCTACTCCCAGGAAAGCGTTCTTAGGATTGCAGTCCTTGTTAATTTTATTTGCATTTTTTCTTCCAGCAGAAGCTATTCCCTGCTAGTATCCATTTATTTCACTATCCTCTCCTGAGGTTCCACCCTCCCTGTTTGGCATACTGAATCATATATACCAGGGATGTATATGGGTGTTTCTGTACCCATATACAAGAAAGAAATTATAAATCTAAGACAGTAATACCAGGAAAAGGGTATAATTACAGTAAAAAGTGTAAAATATATAAATAAGGAATTTACCGATATGGCGTGGTGGACGAAATTACAAGAATGCGGTTTTTAATGGTTAAAAGATATGTTTGTGGAAGGAGGAACTTTAATTGCAAAAAACAATTTTTAGACAAAGTAGGAAAGCAATATTGGTTAGAGGTGCAAGGACTATATGACTTAGTTAAAGCTGAAAGAATAGAGGGGATAAGCGGGGAGGCAACAGAAATTGATGAAATATTAAGCAGAAGACACGTAAAAAAAAGGGATAGCGGGGGCGTTATATAAACTGATGGTAAGAGATAAGGAAAGGATGATAAGGATCATACAGAATAAATGGGAGGGAGAAGGGTTAATGCATCAGGAAGTGATTCAAGAAATAATGAAGGGTATAAATCAAATTAAAATAGAGATAAAGAATTGGTGAGGAAATTTATATGGAAATGGTATAGAACTCCGGCTCAGATAGCGTATATGATTAAAGGAATGAATCCAAAGTGTTGGCACTGTGGCCAAGAAGTAGGTCTATATGCCCATATGTGGTGGGAATGTAAAGTGGTTAAGGAATTCTGGCAAAAGATTGTAAGGGTTATCTATGATTTATTTCAAGTTAATATAGAGATTAACAGGGACTTGCCTATTTCGGGAATATTGGGAAATTAAAAAGTGGGAAGAAATAAATGGGAGTTATATAAAATTATGGTTTTAGCCGGGATGGCTGTAATAGCATTGGGATGGAGGGATAGGCACAAATGGACAATGGAAAATTTGAATAATTATGTCTTTGAACGCGTACAATCAGATATATTCGCACAGATAATTACTGAAGAGACATGGGAGGAGAAATGTCAAAAGATTACAAATAAATGGGTGGGATATAAGGAATGGGTGGAAAGGGGGAAGCCAATCCAAATATCCAAATACGAATGAAGAATCTGTGCACATGGTTAAAAATATGAAAATACTACAAGGAGGGAGGGGGGAGGGGGGTAAAATGATTGTATAATGATTTAATGTAAGATAATGTATATAAGCTTCAATAATAAATAAATAAACATTTCAAAAAAAATTACAGTAAAAAGTGTAGAGATGACTTTCAGGATATTAAGGACAAAAATGAAATTAAATCAAATACAGCTGCGAGAGTCCTGAGAACGACAGAACTCACCACCCCTCTTCTTCTAAAACTGTAGTTTGGATTATTAGCCTCTAAACGTCTGTGTGTTTTTTAGCACAGAACTAGGGTTTTGTTTTTGTTTTTAAATGATGAGATCTTTTCTCATTCTTCAGGCTTGTATTTGAAATTGCCTTATTATCAGCTCTTCTTTTTGTAACATAACTCCACATAATACAGAAATAGGAGAGCCCTGCATGCCCTTTGGGTGTGTGTGTACAAGTGTTTAAAAAACAAGCAGCTGGGAGGGGAGGATGTAGGAATTTGGAGCACAAAAATAATGGGGGCAATGTTTAACACTCGCCCAGCTCCTCCTTCCCAAATTGCTCCCCATCCTTGCTAATTCAAAACGTGTGTTAGCAAGGAAAAAACACACATTCTGTAACTTTGCAGGAAAGGAAAGCAGTTTGCAAGCTGGAGGGATCATTGGGAGAGGGGAAATTACCGTTAGTGAAATGATGAAACATTCCTCTATTCCTTTTGTGTTCCAAACTCCCCCATTCCAAAGTTGCTTTCTTTAAAAATAAACATCTGGGGCTCTTTTATACATTGTTCCATATTCTGTATAGTTAGCCTCCTCAATGATCTTTGAAACATGAGTTTACTGAAGTTTATGTGTTAATTTCAGGCTGCCTAATAGGTTTCTTGTTTTGTAGGAGCATATCCGCATGTCCCAGTGTGGCTGCCTACAATAACAAAGCTCAGGCAGAAATAAAACTTCAGAACTGGCAAGCTGCTCTTCAGGACTGTGAGACTGTATTAAAAATGGACCCTGGAAATATAAAAGGTAAAATGAGATACTCATTTCTGAAAGCATAGTTCTGGCACCATCTATTTAAAATGAATGGAATGTAACTGACAAAATGCTTTCATTTAAATGCTTTATGGAATGCACCCTATTTTAACAACCATTGTTTCAGGCCATGTAACATATGTATTTTGTATACCTGTAACATAGACGTGTAACATACGTATTTTGTATACTATTCTGTTGAAAGCCGCCCTGAGCCGTACTTGTAGGGAAGGGCGGCCTAGTAAATCTAATTTAATAGATAAATAAATACCTTCAGAGTACAAAAAGATCAAAAGAACTGTGAAGCAGCAAGTCTCAAATGTATTTGTTCTGCCATCATTACAGCGGGGAACAACTTGTTCCCCAGACACTGATTAAGTACTGTTGTTTCGGGCTTCTGTACACATGTCTTTGTTGTTGAAGGAAGCCTGTGGCAGCCAGTGCTTGTGTTGTACCAACGGAGACTTGAAACTTTCTCCACTACTCACCTACATTCACTGCAAAAACTCGTTCCTCTTAACTTCATGTAGGATTAGAGATACAAGCAAGCCATGAAAAGACCAGTCGTCTTTAACTCTAGAGAGTTAAAGGTGTTCCCCTTCTAATTAGAGAAAAACACCCAGTGTGAGTGCAGGTTCTTAAAGTCTTGACACGTTTGGACTCTTTTGGAAAGTTCCCACATGTCCCAGATACATGGAAAGAAGTAATTATCTCTTTGATTCATAAACAGAACTCGGATGAGAAAGAAATGAAAAATTATAGACTGATTTCACTTTTAAATGTGGATTATAATTTGAACATTTGATAATGTTAACTGGACTTTTATGGTGAAAAACGTTACATATGTTAGAAGCAGGAGAAAGCTTTACTACTATGATTCAAGCAATATATAAGGAACAGAAAGCAAGAGTTATAGTTAATGGAGAACTTTCAAACAGCTTTGATATCCAGAAAGGTGCAAGACAAGGTTGCCCTTTATCCCCACTTTTGTTTATCATGGTACTGGAAGTTATGAATGAAGCCATAAGAAGGGAGAGCAAAATAACTGGACTTCAAATAAAGAAAGAACATTTCAAAATCTTAGCCTTTGCAGATGATGTGGCACTTATATTGGAAAATCCGATGGAAACAGCAGGGGCTTGGATGGAAAAGATTGAAGAGTATGGAGCAATGTCAGGTTTCAAAATAAATGCAGAAAAAACAAAAATCATAACTAAGAATATGGAGGATAAACAAAAAGAAAAACTACAAGAAATTACGGAATGCCAGATAGTAAAGAAAGCAAAGTACCTAGGAATTACATTTACAAATAAATGCAGTACACTCTATGAAGACAATTATAAAGTTTTATTACAAGCAACTAAACAAGATTTGGAGAAATGGAAAAATCTGCAACTTTCTATGATGGGAAGAATAGCTACAATAAAAATGAACATTTTACCAAGATGGATATTTTTATTTCAAACTATCCCGATATTGCAAAACCAAAATTTGTTCAAAGACTTAGATTTTTGTGGTATGAAAAACCAGGCTCACAAAAATACTTCAAGCAGCATTGGCTGAGAGCAGCACTACTAAAGGTCTGGGACTCTATACACAAAAACTTTTATACCAAAAGATCGAGATTTAGAGGCATTTACTTTACCAAATGTTTATGCGGGAGAAGAACCGTTAAGATACCAGGACATTTTGGACAAAAAAGATAACCTTAAACTACCAGAACAGTTATCCTGGTGGAAGAATGCACAACTGGAATCGATATATTTAAAGGACAAGAGGCTAGGATTTAATAATAAAATAACTGAGTTGGAAGAAACTATGTTAACAGCAGAAAATAAAGTGATAAAGAAATTATTTAAGATTTTATTAGATGATGTGATGATAGACGAAATAGTGAAAAAAAATATGATTGCATGGGCCCAGAACATTGGACGTAATATTAACTTGGAGGAGTGGGAGCAGATTTGGTTGAAAAACATTAAATTGACTAATGCTGTATCATATAAAGAGAATATGTATAAGATGTTTTATAGATGGTATATTACACCAGATAGACTAGCTAAAAAAAATGTTACTTACTCAGATAAATGTTGGAAATGTAAGAATAAGACTGGTTCATTTTATCATATGTGGTGGCTATGTGATGTTACAAAAAGATTTTGAAGATGGGTACATGGAAAAGATGCTGAACTGCAGGCTGTGGTAGGTCGGTAGTTCAGCAGTTCGAGACCCGAGAGTGCCGCATGACAGAGTGAGCTCCCATCTCTAGTTCCAGCTCCTGCCAACCTAGCAGTTCGAAAGCAAGAAATTGCAAGTCGATAAATAGGTACCACTTCAGTGGGAAGGTAACAGCATTCCGTGTGCCTTGGTGTTTAGTCATGCCGGCCACATGACCATGGAAATGTCTTCGGACAGCGCTGGCTCTTCGGCTTTGAAACGGAGATGAGTGCCGCAACCCTAGAGTCGGATTCGACTGGCTTTCGAGCAAGGGAACCTTTACCTTTACTTTACATGAAATACTAAGGTCCCATTTACTCCAGAGATATTGTTACTGAATATATTTCCGAAAGACTTTGATAAAGCAGATAGGTATTTGATTGTTCACTTTTAGACAGCTGCAAGGATTCTATATGCTAAATATTGGAAAAAATGGAGATTCCAACGAAACAAGAATATGTGAATAAACTGTTTGAAACGGCTGAGAATGACAAATTGACATTGGAGACGAGAGCTGGAGCAGAATGGACTTTTCAAAAAACTTGGAAGAGATTTTATGACTGGTATAATATAAGCGTAATAACTTGATGGAAACTTGAGTACGAAGAAAAGATAAGCTAGTAGATAATGAGATTAGAAATGTAACAAATTGAAGAATAGAATATGGAATAAGCCTCCTGTTATATGTTTTATGTTTGTTAGTGGTAGTTATGCGTTTGTTTTTATGTATGTTTGTAGTGTATAATGAAAAGAAAAAATAATAAAGTGTACCTTCGGGTACTTTTTTTTTTTTTTTAAAGAAAGTTCCCACATGGTTAGACAATACATTTTCACAAGAAAAAGGAGAAGAAGTAAATTATGCTTGTTACATAGAAGTCTGATCTCTTTCCTGTTCTCTTCCCACGCGCACATGCTCACTCGCTCTCTTTTCTCCCCCCTCTTCCCAGGTCAGATGATGTTCTAAGTCACATAACAAACATCTCTTTTCAAATTTTCGTGTGCATTTCTCAAAAACAATACACTTTTTGCAGCTATGATTACATATATTTTAGTGGGTTGTACTTCAGCACACCAACATCTTCACAGGCAGATGTTGCATTTTTTGGACACTTGGGCCAAAGAAAGTTGCCTAGCTATGTGCTATGAGCTTTGATACTACCAAAATGTAAGCTTTTTTCCTTTTCTCTGTCCTACAAAGATTATCTGTTTCACATAAAATGAGATTAATTTTTAAGCTGTTAATATTATTATGTATCCTTGCAGTAGATAATTCTAATTAATGACAATAAAAAACTATTTTACAGTTCTATTGTAAAGGTTGCTATGGAGGATTTATTATGTACTGTATAACTGAATCATAACTACATTACTGCACCCTTTCTTTATTGCAGCTCTCATGCGCCGTGCCACTGTATATAAGAATCTTCAGAATTACAGGGCAGCTGCAGAAGATTTGCAAAAAGTATTACATACTGAGCCCCAAAATGGTATAGCAAAGGTAAGCATCAGTTGCTGACATCCTGGTTGTAGCATAAAATATGAATGTTTGCAATATGTTGTGTTGCTTGTATTTGAAAGTAGTTATTGTTCAGGCATAGGATGCAATTATGTAAAATTTTCTTACAATGCCTTTAATGTAAACTTAAGGCGTCTTTCAGAAGAGAGGACATTCCCTTCTTCATTGCAGTTTATTTTTCTCCTGTACCTTCTCCAGTTCTTGACAGTGAGATGGGGCAGAAACCAGTGCATGCAATATTCTGAGTACATCATAGATTAAGCAAAGATATTACAAACCAAGATTTGTATCTTTGTTCTTAGATCCAATTTACACCCTATCAGAGTACAAGAAAAGTAGGATTTTTTTTCCTAATGTGTATCACTCATATACCATTGAAGCTCATTCTGGACCTGGCCTACATAGTTTGGGGAGAGAGATAATCATTGTACAATTCTTTACTGTTCTAGTAGGAAGTTTACCATCCTGAATTTAAAAATCAAAGCTGTGTAAGACCTTCTGCTAATGGTGGAGTCTTCTGCTAGAGTAACTTACTTCATGTGCCAGAGCAAGATGCCTTGTCAGCAATGCTCCTGCTAAGCTGTGGAGTCTTGTGAGCAAAAATTCTACTTTGTGAGCTACTGGCATTAAAGTTGTGAGCAAGCAATTTGGCAACTGCATAAATTAGCTTACTCTGGAATCATCTTTCCTGAGCTAAGACAAAAAATGTGTGAGCTGGAGGCTAAAAAACTGTAAGGTAGCTCACACTAACTCAGCTTAGAGAGAACACTGCTTGTCAGTAGAGCAAGATGCCTTGCCACAAATCGCTAGTGAAAGACTCTGCTGCTAGTGGAATGAAATTTTTGAATCCAGTCCTTTGTACATTTCATTTTTACAGGAAATATTTTCTTGTGCTGCAGAAAAATCTCTCAGAAATTGAGAAGACTCTGAAGGACTTAGAACCTATATCTCAGACACAGATCAAAGGAAAAAGAATTCTTATTCAGGACATAGAAGAATCAGAAAAAGCTGAAGGAGAAAACGGTGTAGAACATGAAAATGGAAGCGGAGATAAAAGTAATATTAACTTTTAATTGCTTTCTTTGGATCGTGGAGCTGGCATCACCCAAGACGATTAAGGAGTTGGAGCACCTGTCATAGGAGGAAAGGCTGAGGAGTCTGGGACTTTGCAGTTTAGGAACAGGCGACTAAGGAGGGACATGACAGATGTTTATAAAATTATGCATGGGGTAGGGAGAGTGGACAGAGAGAACTTTTTCACCCTCTCCCAAAATACTACAACATCAAAGCTGATGAGCAGTAGATTCATGATGGACAAAAGTAAATACTCCTTTACTCAAAGAGTGATTAAAATTTAGGATTTGCGCCCTGGATAGCCAAGGCAAGCCAGATCTCTCAGATATCAGAAGCTAAGCAGGGCCAACCCTGGCAAATATTTGGATGGGGGACCTCTAAAGAATACCAGGGCCGGGAGGCAGAGGCAGGCTCTCAAGCCACTTTTCTGAACGTCCTCCATGCCCCAATAGGAGCTGCCAGAGGTCGCCATGACTTCCAGGCACAGACACAGACACAAAATACAAATACCAAAAAATATATAAATTTTGGAATTTGCTGCCAACAATATCATTATTCATATCAATAAAGATGGCTTTAAAATGGGATTAGACAGATTCAGGAGGATAGGTCTATCAGCAGATACTAGACATAGTGACTAAAGGGAACCTCCACATTCAGAGGCAGTAAACCTCTAAATGCCAGTGCCAGGAGTCAATGTCAGGGGAAGGCCTCAGCCTTTATGCCCTGTTGTTGTTGGCCCTTCAGAGTAACTATTGGCCACTGTGTGAGACAGGATGCTGGACTAGATGGACCACTGGTCTTATCCAGCGGGGTTTTGTCGAATGTTTTTATGTTATAATCCTGAAGTTTGAGAAAATGACTTTATCAAAATTTCTTCCTCTTACTGTTTAAGATACTTTTATTAGTAAACACATCCTACAAGAACAAGGGGCTCTTGTATTTCCCCCCTAGCCATCCTCTGTGATCACTGAAAAGCTAATGCTGAGAGTCAGGGGACACCTTTGTGGACAGAATGCTAGGTGATGGGGGGGGGGCTGCATCTAAGGAGAGCTAATAGGGTGAAATCATCCCCTACTTCCATCAGCAGAGGACGTTTGGCGGAGTAAGCCTTCTGCTTTTCAAGAAGGATGAGGGGTGGTTTCATCTGATTCCCATTCTTCACTATAACCTTCCTGTGTCCTCAAGGGTCCCCTGACTCTCAGCATCAACTCTTTCAGGGGCAAGGGGGTAATCATAGGGGTTAGGGGGAAGTGGAAGGGTGGAATGCCTGCCTTGGTGCTTGTGGAATCTAATCCAGAATTTTTATCCATAATAAACGCAGTTTGCTGTTTTTGTATGCATACTCTTTCCTCACACTCGCAATTTTCCACTTAAAAAGTTTTACAGACAAAATCCCAAGCAGCTTCCTGAAGATAATTTTAAATGTGAAGTTACTGTGGTACAGTTTCTGACAGGGACTATATAGTAGGGAAATATCCCTTTTGATTGTGATTTTACGGAATTATTTTGCCTTGCCAAGTTCAGAATATTCAAAAGAATTTGTTATTTCTGAAGTTGGCACTGCATTTATCCTTTTTTCCATGATTTCTTTTTTTTTTTCCACTTTAGAATTATTTTCAGTTCTGATGGAAGCTTAACTGAGAAAAACCACGTACTGTTTTTTTGCTATACATTTGGCGTCTTCTTAATCCAGCACTTAAAATTCTGACTTTCTGATTGCTTACTCTGAAGCAATCCTGTTAACGTTTTTAGTGGGTATCTTTATAGATGAAGGATATAAATTACCTGTGCTTGGTTAGTCCAATAACATATCTTGCATGCTGGACTAGGATCTGGGAGACCCAGGTTCGAATTCCCACACTTGCTGTGGAAGCTCACTGTGTGACCTTGGGCCAGTCACACAGCCTAACCTACCTCACAGGGCTGTTGTGAGGATAAAATGGAGGACAGGAGAATGATGTAAGCCACTTTGGGTCTCCATGGGGGAGAAGGGCGGGATATAAGAGAAGTAAATAGATAAATAAATTTTAGAAACTGTTGAGAATCTTTAATGTGTTTAGATCTAAATGATAAGTTTTTAAAAAGCTAGTTCTTCAGTAGACTTGAAACAATAGACTAAAAAAAGTATGTGTACGTGTGTACCATTTTACAATATAGTTTCTAAATATTTTTCAATATTTTTGTACTGATAATAGTAAACATTTAATCTGGTTTGGCATGTAGTTGTGATTTGCTGTCTTACAGACAGTCATGAACTAGCCCTTTAAGTTGAGCATACAGCATTTAAAAGGTTAATTTCAAGGAGCTTAGTAGGAAATAGACTTTAAAAAGTATGTGTATGTGTGTACTATTTTACAATATAGCAGGTGTTTCAAAATATTTTTCAATATTTTTGTACTGATAATAGTAAACATTTAATCTGGTTTGGCATGTAGTTGTGATTTGCTGTTTTACAGACAGTCATGAACTAGCCCTTTAAGTTGAGCATACAGCATTTAAAAGGTTAATTTCAAGGAGCTTAGTATACCATTCAGAGCAGGGTACTCTAGATTATTAAAAGGGGACACTGATTTGACAACATTACATTCAAGCTGTTGTATATTGTTTATTCTTAATATTTTATACTTGCCTTCTGAGAATGCACATTTGTTTGGGGGTAAGCTAAGCGCAATAAGCTAGGATGTTTTAAGAATCTGCCGGCAGATTCTTCTAGTCCTCCCCTATTCTGTTTTTACAATAGTTCCTTCTGATGATGCAGACTCTAACCTAGCCGATTAACTTCCTTATAGAAACTGCTGTGCTAGTGGGAGGTCAGATCACAAGTGAGAAGACTGAGATGGGGAATGCGCAAAAGAAATTCCCTGGCAAAGGAGATGGCTGTAAATCAGAATACAAGGAAGCGCAGAAGAACAGAGATCCTTCTGAAACAAGCATTAAAAAAGGCACACCTGAAAAAAGGACAGCTAAAGTTTTGCATGACTGTGGGAGTGAAGTAAATGGCTGTCTAAGCACTGGTAAAAATAACAGTGAAGACAGTAATGCTAAACCAAAGGATGTAGAATCTTCCTTGGCAGGAGAAAGGAGTTCCACTCTGCTCCCCCCTACTGCAGTGGCACTGAAAGCTGAAGGAAATGCGTTGTTTAAGAACGGGCAGTTTGGAGAGGCTATTCTCAAGTATTCAGAGGCAATTGAAAATGTCAGCGATTCAGGTGAGTTCTAAATTCTTCAGAGCAATTTTATGGTAACTTTAAAGGGTAATTTGGGAGTGTATATTATTTTCGGATTTGTTCCTGGAATGCATAAGCAGTGGTGGAAAATTATGTCATATACATTGGTGAAGTAAAACAGATATTTCATGTAGATTTCATGTCAATATGGTTGCATATTAAAATAAAATGATATATTTATAGGTTGTTGGACAAAACAAAAGGTCCTTGAAGCTTTGCTTCATCAGCAGAACTGCATTACTGCAGTGGAACTTGGAACCCAAAGAGTGCTTTTTAAAAATACTAACAAAATTTGACTTCAGTAATCAATTTTTGTTTTTATTTTGTATAATTTTAGGAATTCAGAGTCCAGAGGATATAAGTATTTTGTATTCAAATAGAGCAGCATGTTACCTAAAAGAAGGCAACTGTGTTGACTGCATTCAGGACTGTAACAGGTAAATAGCACCCTTCCTGCATGGAGGCATCATTCCCCATAATTATAGTAGCATTTTAACTGTTTTTTATTATTTAAATAGCTTGAAAGGTATAACACCTACTTTATGTGTTTTGCAAGACTATGTTGCAAATCACTTCCTGGATAAGAAAAGGAGGAGGAGGACAGCTCATATTTCTCCAGTTTATGTAAACACATACAGAGGGTTTGAATGTAAAATTTAAGTAGGTTCTTTACACAGTGACAAGTTTTTATAGATATTTTTGCATAAACATTCCTTTGATAGAAGAACTGAAAATTGTTTGTGATCTGGAATACTTACAAGTAGTTGCATCATAATTGACACAAGTCCTTCCCAGAAACTGAGACGAACATTGGTTTCTAACTGTGGTGCAGTGTGGGGCATAGTAGTACCTTCGGTCCCTTCTCTCTGGAATGTGCTGTTTTAAGTGTTAACTGGCACTTCAGAAATTATTTTTAACTGGTATCTGAGTTGGTCTTCAAGAGTTTGAGATATATGGTAAAACCATAGCTTTGCAGACCTTGTTTTCCTAATTGTAAAAATGACTGGATAGTAGATCCTCAGGGCTTTAGATTAGCATGCTAGAATACTAAACCTTCATCTGAATTAAGAATTTTGGGGGGGTCAAGTTATTTCTTACTTTTCAAACTCTCTCCGTGAAATATTCTTAGTTGGTGACTGCTTTTGAACTTCCATTGTTAGTTTGGTCCAAGAGAACTAAATATTCAAAATACACAGGAGTAATTTTGTTGTTGTTGTTGTTGTTGTTGTTGGACCGGCTTCTGTTTTGGTTTAGAAAAGCTGCTTGTTTTTTGAATTACAAAGAATGCTTCATCAAGATGAATGGACTGGTAGTTTAATCTTCTTTGAAAGTAAGATCAAAGTACTTGGGTTGGCCTTTGGAACTCAAGACTAAATCAGGAAAGGGTAGGGGGGGATAATGATTATATGGAATAATGACATCATTCTGGTTTTTCAGATTTTTGTTAGCATTACCTGTCCCGAGCTTTCAGGATGTGGCAGAGGGTAAACCTAAACAAGGTTGCAAATTTAGTTGAAAATGTGTTCAGTCACTTCAGACACTGACCTGTTCATAAATTTTTTGCACATTTAAACATTCTGGTTTTCATTTTCTTTCTACTTTAATACTTTAAAACTCTGTCAAAATTTTTTTTCATTTTTATTTAACTGCTTTTTCTTACTATTTCTTTTTCTTATTTATTATGTATGCACTTTATACCCTGCCTTACCTAAAGTGGCTTATGTTGTTCTTCTGTCCTCCATTTTATCCTCACAACACCCCTGTGAGGTCCAAGGTCCCCCAGCGGGCTTCCATGGCATGAGCTGGGATTCAAACCCAAGTCACCCAGATATTAGTCTGACACTCTTAACCATTACACTTTGCTGGCTCTCAGAAATGACTTTTTGCATCCCCCCCCCTCCACTTAATTCGCACTACAACCCTGTGAGGGTAGATTAGGCTGAGAAATCGTGACAGACCCAGGGTCACCTGGCAGGTTTCCATAGTCCAGCAAGGGATTCAAACCCAGTCATACTCCCAAATCCTAATCCAGCACTCTAACTACTGCACCGCACCAAATCTAAAGCGTGCTTGTACACATGATTTGCAGCATGCTGCTAGTTGCTGTTATTATGAGAGAGACCGTGGAGCTGCCAGAAGGAAAGCTTTCTGTTCCTGGGATCCACTTGTTGTTGGTAGAGCCTGAAAGAGCAGAGTAAGGGATGCATGAAATTCTGCAGTCCTTTGAACAGCATTCAGCAGCATTCAACAGAATCTCTGTTTTCCTCTGAGATAAATGAACTTTCTAAATTGTGAGGATAGGCTTGTTTGGTGTGGACAGTGTCTGGTGACATCTTAGAAGAATGTGGTCTGTACAGGAAGTGTTCGGGACTGAGGTTTGATTACCTTAACTATGACTAACTGACTAAGTATACTTTATGACTAACTGGCATAGTATAAATTAATGCAAAGTAAGCAAATATTTTCAAATATTCTTAATCTGCATAATTTATACAGGAATTGGGTTGCCTTCCTTATAGCCTTAAGTGTTCAGAATTCTCAAAATGCTAAATATGAATACCAAGTTTTAATTATGAAAAGCGAATATTTTTATCGGTAGGAGTAGAGTTCACCATATACTTGGATGCTTAACTGTGGGCATTTAGAAGTCCTCTGTGGAATTCCTATACACCTTGTAGGTGGACGATGCATTTTGGAAGCCCCACTACCTATAAATGGTTTGCAGTTGAGATAGATCGCAAGGAGACAACTGATAGCCCTTATCAGCTAGATAGGTTTTCATATGTATCGAATGTTTTGCAGATACAACAACTGTACTGAAAGGTACATACACAGGTAGTACTTAAGCAGAATAAGCATTAATCCTCTATAGTACTGCCCTGTTACTAAGTATCACTTGGCTTAAATCAGTTCCTTGGCCATTTGATTAATAGGCTTTTCAGAACACTGCCTGGATACAAGAAGCATGTAACAGTAATAGCCCACGTGAATAAATCAATCCTGTTTTCCTTCCTCCAGTTTTATTTTTAGATAGATCCATGATAAAAATCTGAGATATACCGTGTACATGTTCATACCTATGCTGATAGGGTCAAAATGTTTTTTGGTGCTAGCTGCCTTCTTTAGCCTTGTTCTACTAATAGATTCTGGCCATTTTTCTTTAGAGCACTGGAACTTCATCCGTATTCTCTCAAACCACTTCTGCGTCGAGCAATGGCCTATGAGTCCATGGAACGATACAGGCAGGCATATGTGGATTTCAAGACATTATTGCAAATAGATAGTGGGATTCAGGCAGCTAATGACAGTGTTAACAGGTAAGTATTTCTAAAATTAATATAAGACACTAATGTAACATTCTCTTTTGTGATATGCCATTGCAGTGGTTGCAATTCTCATCTAAGCATTTATTACTTGTACAAATAATTTGTAGATTATTTGTAGAATAAAATAATTTGACTCTTTAAAATACTTGGAATAGGGCCCGCGTTGTATTTGCACGATTTCTAGCATTTGGTTTACACTGAATGAATATGTGGTATGATAACTGCTGCTGTATTTAGTTGACTCAGTAGAAGTGGTTGTTTATATAGTCATGATGATTGTTATTGCAAAACTACAATGCATTCTTTTAACATATGAATATATTATTTTCCAAGGTGCTAGGCCTGCTTATGAGCATTTTCATGTTTCTTTAGAGTGTTTTACTCAGGAATAAAGTAAACTGTGAATCAAATTTGTATGGGATGAGTTGTACCAGGAACAATAGGTCTGATTTCAGTTCACTGTTCCATGTCAGAACTGGCAGGCTGTGATGGGGAAATTATCTTACTGGTAGAACACCCAAGTTCATACTTGATCACTGTTATTTACATAAGAATAAAAAGAATGTCTACTTCATTGGAATTTGGTAGCAATACTCTGTGGGAGTTGCTTCCTTATTAAATTGTTAATCCTTCTAGCAAGATACCATTTTGTTACTAGGAAGTTAGAAGAGACCACAAGTCATACATTGAGTTAATGGTAGTACCAACAGCTTACTAACTTCCCCCCAAAATCAGCCCACATAATCCAGGCAGCAGTGCACCGTAAACAGGGAGCTGGTGGTGTGTTGAATGAGAAAGTGTCCTTTCATTGAGAAAAATCACTTCCGGTAACCCAAGATAGAAAGCTGAGTGACATAGAGCAGGAAAGACCTCTTTCCTGGGCTAGGTCCAGATGCTGGGTTGCATCCTGCCTACCACCAGCAGAAGAGTGGAGCTTTACTGTACTCCACCCCACAGTGGTTCCTTGTAACCCCCAGAAAACAGATTTCCCATGGCTGTGAGACCTCACTGAGGGGGGCTGCAGTGGAGAGGAGGAAGGTGGCAAAATTGCCCTTCTGCCTATTCTGGCAGTGGAACTCTGCTGTTAATCTACACAGATCCCACGTCCCCAGGAACAGACTTTCTGGGAGTTGAGAAGGATGGCAAGACTGGAGGGGGACAAGGCAAAGATCCAATTTCCTTTCTCTGGTAGCAGTTAGGATCTAGCCCATTTCATCTTAAATTTAAGCGTTCTTTGTGCTTGCTGTCCTTGCCAATGATGAATGCTTTGGCCATAAGCTCAAAGCGTGGCTGCCACACAACATCTGTTTGTTTCCCCAGCGTGGGAGTGGCCCCTGTGGCTCTGGTGCAGCCTTTGGGCTTATTGAGGGAGCTGAATATCAGTGCTGTGAGCGTCGCTTTTGACAACAATTTAACACAAATAAGCTGATTTCTTATGTGTTGCAAGATGAGTATTCAAGACAGGCTTCTGGTACTGACTGTGCCATTTTACGTGCCGCTGTACTGAAGACCAAAGGTGTGCCTAACATGCTTACCTGCCAGCAGTGAAAGCTTGCTATTAGAACTGGGCCCAGTATTTATTCACTTAGGTAGTTCTGTCCCATTTTTGGCCCCAATGGGGACCCAAAGCAGCTTATAGTATCATTCTTCCTACCTCCATTTTATCCTCACAGCAAGACTTCCAGGAGCACATGTGCACACACACACAAGAAGAGAAAAGATATATCGTTCTCCTGTGTAGCTGATGAATTAATTCCCTACTCCCATCAGCAAAGGGGTGCTGTCCATTAAAAACTGGATGTTGTTAAACTCTTATACCAGTTAAGTCATTATAAAAAAAATCTGGAGGCGAAATGTCCATTAAAAAAAAAATCAGTGCAGTTTTCAGAATATGTGATTGGCTCTCATAAGAAGCAGCTCATTCCCTGATACAGTGTTTGTTTTCCATCACATGTGATGATTACATATGAATCCCATAAGTAGCATGTTCCTCCTTGGTCTTCATTCTATAATTTACTGTCTATTTCAATGCATGAGTTAAGTTTTGTGAAATATATTGCTGTCAAGATAGTTGTAGATTCCAAACACTTAAGAGTTTTTATGGGAAACTTACATTTGAGGTTTGAGTTGAGTTTAAAACTTTGGGAATAAATAATGGGTGCTAAACTTCAATTTTACCTTGTCTTTATCACTTTGCAACATACATAATCTAATGTTCAATCATTTATGCATTTTGCTGCTATATACTGGCTTTTTAACTTGCAGATTTATAGTAAGCCATGCAGAACTGTGGTTAGTGTACTGGGGCAGGCCTGGACTGGCTTTAATCTGCTATTGTCTACATTAAAAAAAAAATTCTAGAGTTTTAGTATTTTGTTAGATTCATACCACACTTTGAGCAGAAGACTATTTTTGGGATCCAACCCCACAATTTTGCTTTAGTCTAAAGTATGTTAAATATATAAAGTGAGGGTGCCTGTTCAGTCTCTGAGCAACTGAGGCATAGCTAGTTTGTATTTACCAAAGAATACGCCCTAAGAAAGTGTTTTACATCGTCCTGTCAAGGTCTATCTAGACCAGCAGTTTTAGCAGGATTGTGAAATTACAGATTCCCCCCCCCCCCCGAAATTGACCAGCTGTAGGTT